TCAATGGATGGTTTCGAGAACTTGATTGGATAGATGTTAATGAATCGGATCAGTTGGAATAGTCAGCCAGGGACCGGGAATGTCTTAGATAATAGCTTCGGGAGTTGCGAGTGAAGGAACGCGAACAAACCGCTTATGTTTCCGGTGATGTCTTCCCATTGTGTAGTGTTGTAATTACGGTGATAGTTGACCTGAAATTGATGCAGTATGATAATTGCATATCAATAGGACCATGAAGCTTGATGATTCTCAGTAATTGTCCACTCTTTGGAATTAGACTGCAGCCGAGTCAGCTCTGGTCATTTTCTAGTTAAGTGAGAGCTTTAAAGACAGGAAAAAGTACTGCCATAATCGTAAACTATTCGGCACCATCATCTTCTTCTTCAACGAAACAGTCCGTTTCGCTATGCTATTTGTCCCTTGCATCATTCTCTGTGGACTATTCGATAAGAACCAAGAAAATGAACCTTGACTTTATATTGACCATTCACTTTCCATAATTCAAACAACACTGCTGCCGTATATTCCGGAAGATCGTCCGGTACAACTTTTTCTTTAGCACCCAACGCTGACAGAAGACCGTTTAGAGTAGAATCATGCTGAAAGGTTTTTTACTTCCAGAATATGTTCAGGAAATATTGATGTTTTCTAAATACGTTATCGAAGGGAGATGTCAGTGTGGAAATGGTGTGGCACAGCTTCGAGACCTCTTAGCAACAAGAAATTTATCCCGGTGAAACTCAGTAAGACGGTTTACAATTCCTGTCTAATGAATCTCGGTCGGAGAGGACAACTTCAGATGAAAATCTCAGAAATTCTATCCGTCAAGTACACAGTTGCTTGTCTTTCCCACTGACCTCTTATCATCTAAAATCGCTCAATGAACATTTGACTATTTCTATCATTCATGTATATTGAAACTCAGAACTCATATTAATTATGTTTCTATTGAACTGAAGACCGGAATAATTGAAAATTGAGTTAATGAAGACTTTCGATCAGATTGGTTGGGATATATTGATGAAAGTTCAAGACTAAAACCATATGAGCAACAAAATCTCGTTGAAAACTGAAAAATGATCAAGTTTTGATCACAACAGGAGATCAAACTGATTGCGTTAACTGACTAACCGCTGAGAAGGCGAAATACTTTAGATTATTATACCAACCGCATACTTCTTCAGATGCCCTCTCATTTTCTAAGCAATAAATCTGAAATACTCACATCAGATATTTTGGAGATTATCCTGGAATCGCCCGAAAAACAATCATACCAACTGAGAAATTATGTCCAGCAATCAAAACTTGTCAACCAATCGGTGTCTCTTAGCATTTCACTTATTTCATGAACTCAAGTTTCTATTATTTTCAACAACTAAACTGAACCAGCTCTATTCCCCTTTCAGTGAATATTCACTGTAACTGAAGGTGGTGGGCGATTGATTTGAGCCTTTTCAGCCTTTTTTGATCATTGGTGAATACATTTATTCGATAGATCTTGATGAAATGTTGATAAATCATTGAAATAGAAATCTAGAAATTGATAGAAATGAGGATCAAAAGTTATACTACTAGAAGTATGAATGTTTTCCTCCGGTTGTTCAGTAATCATAACATTTTTCTTCGTGCCACCAGAAGAACTGAAAAGCGAAAAAAGTACCTTTTGATCCATGTGATTGATGACGTCCCAAAGTTGACTACCGCCACGCATTCGTGGGATTTGTACGCGTAAGTCGATTCCATTTTGAACGCTCTCCTCTGAAA